CTCTCTCTCTCTCTCTCTCTCTCTCTCTCTCTCTCTCTCTCTCTCTCTCTCTCTCTTCGTTTCTTTTTTATTAATTTCATAAGAAAAAAATAGAAATAGAAATAGATTTTTTCTTACCTTTTCGAGAGATAAATCACCACCCTCGATCGCTCGAAAAGGATACAGAGCTACCACGACCTTTGTTCTCATCATTATCTTGTCCTGGAACACGTATTAATTCTCTGTTTAGAGTATTGAATGAATTCAGTCAGTCAAAAAGTCTTTTTTTTACTTCTACGTTGTTTTATAAGGAAAATTCACTTATTTTAGAAAAATCTGATTTTAATGAATCTTTCGAGGGAAAATTTTTTCACTTAAATTTTTATATACGTTACAAATAAGAAAAAAATAATGGATAAATATTTTTCTCTTATGTATGTATAAATTTAAGTGAAAAAGAATATTTGCAAAAGAAGATTTATTTATTTACCTTTGTTTTAGAAGATGGGGTCCCAGGTGTCCCCCCTGGCATTATTGGAGTCGAAGGGGTCCCTGCAATGAAAAGATAATAATTTTAGGCACATTAACATTTCCATTAATATTATAATAACACAATTTTTTTTTTTAAATTATTTATCGCATTATTTATAATTATATATAAAGAGGAATGAGAAGAGTCAGAATTTTTAATTCTGAGATCAAATGTTCTCATTTTTTTCAAGGTGGTCGCCATTAGTCCGAGCTTTCCACGGGAACGAAGCAGCTTCGTTTCTTCGCCGGGATAATTATTGAATGTAGCATGGAGAAGACTTTGGAGAAGAGAGACCTCATAACTTATATCTTAATGAGCTTACGCTTGCGATGTTTTAATGAATATTAATGAACTCGAAAATTTTTCTCATCCCAAAGAGAAAAGTCTGGATCCGTCCGAAGTTTTTTCACCGAGAATAATTGGTCCTATTCTTGGCCAGAAAGATTTATAAATGGAAAAAAAGAAGAGAGCGAAACAAGCATCTTTTTCAATTTATAATCACTCTTTTGTTACACGATATCGACGATGTTTACGATATCGTCTTTTTCCTTAATCTCTGTCGGTTTAATCAAGATTTTAAATAAAATTTTAATCAACGTATTTATCGATTCACGATTAAATTTTTTATTTAAGTCCAGCAAGACATTAACATTTTGTCGCTAGAAAAGGAATTATAATAAAAAATAAAAATCAAAAAAAAAGAAAAGAGAAAAAGGAAAAGAAAATACAATATACAACTATCTAATTAAATATCTAGAATAACTAAAAAAAATTCCACAATGAGACTGGGAAAAAAAAGAAAATGAAAGAATCGACAATTAAATATTTTCGTTTGTTGGAAAAAAACGTACGATTCATTTGGATATCTGTGATATTTATCACTAATACTTCGCCAATGACTCTTCAAACGTCATTTCGATCCTCGCTGATACCATTTTTCTCCCTATCATTTTCATTTCTTACCAAATATACCATAATAATAGAGATCTAGTCTCTCCTCTCTTCTCTTCTCTTTTCTTCTCTTCTCTCCTCTCCTCCCTTCTCTCTCTTTCTCTCTCTTCTCTTTTCTTCTCTTCTTTTCTCTTTTCGTCTCTCTTTGTCTTTTTTCTTTTTCT